CATCTTGAGCCCCCCCACACACTGTTGAGCTGGGACCCCTGCATAGTATGGGGACCCATTTGGTTTACCCCCAGACCCTGGCTATGTCTCAACTGAGGTGGGATGCCGGCCACAGGTCTATTCAGGTGTGCAGGGGCTCAATAACCAGATGCAAATCCTCGTGGGTACATGACTGCTGATGTGTTTCTTTCTCAGGCAGGAATCACGTAGCGATCTGTTCTCATGCTGCCAAGCAGGTGATGTCTGGAACCATCCATGGTAGCAACAAGTCCTCCCAACCCTGGTGCTCTCAGCCCTGTGGCACGTCTCCAGCCCCCAGGGAGTGCTGCAGCCGGGAGGCAGATGTGACCTGAAACTGGGCCAGGGAGAGTGGGGAAGGCAGGGCCCACCCCGTGGTGTTGACACAGTACACCATCATGAATAAACAACCCAGCTTTACTGTGAACATGTGAACAGCAACAATCCAACCCTAAGTGCAACACAAGCAACCAAGCAACTTAGCCCCCTCTCCCCCGAACAACAGGCCAGGCTGCATGGGCACCCCCAGTTGGTCAGGGGTCGCTGGCTAGTCTCCTGGTGGTGCCCCAACGAGGTCAGAGAACCTGTCCAGATGCCCCCTTACATCCCGGAGGCCCATGGGGCAGGCCTGGGATGGCTGCCAGGAAGGAGGAAGTGCATGTCATGCAGCAGCACACTGATGCTGGCTACCTCCTTCTTTAGACACTGCTTTACAGTGGCCGGCTGGTACAGCCAGGCATTCATCCACTGCAGGACTGCTAGCATGGCCATGAGTGAAGTCCTTGTGGGGAGGAAAGGGGGGATGGTTGGAGCACAGACACCTGTGGGCCTTTTGGCCCTGCCCCCCCCCCCCCAGGCTACAGGTTGCAGTCAGTCAGTGAGTGGGAGCAGTATGGAACCATCACCTATCTAGCTCATGGCCGGCAGGATGGACTGGAGCTGCCTGTTCCCCCACCCCACCCCAGGGCTGGTGCTCCCATAGGGCACGCTCACCCTCCATGGGACAGAATGGAGAGGGCTGGGGGGGGGAACCCAGACCCACTTCTGGCCCCAGCTGATGAGGAGCTGATGGTAAAGACCATCCTCCAATGAATCACGATTGCTTGTGGACACCTCCAAGTCTGTAGCAGTCTTGGTCCTCTCACTGTTGGAGTGGGGGTTCCCTTGCCAAGAACCTAGGCTGCAGGGTGTGCACCTACAGAGGTGGATGCCGCCCCTGATCAGTCCATTGCTGCTGGTGGGAGGTGCTATGTAGGGCCTGGGGGATAGAGGGCGGGGCACGCAGGCCACATGGGGAGCATGGTGGTGGCACCATCCTGGGCAGGGGACAATCCCTATCCACCTGACCTGCAGACTCCATGGTGTGTGTGGGTGGCATGGGCCAGAGGTGCCGTGGCACTGTTGGGGAGACGCTGGGGAGTGGCCATTGTCAGCTTTCCTGCCACTAAATGTGTTCTCAGACCTGCTCCCACTCAGCGATACCCAGGATGTAGTGGCCTGCCTATGGTAGCACTAGTGGCCTGTCCCCTTCCTGCCCAGCTGCTGCCAGACAGCCATGTTGTGGAGCATGGCACATACAGCAACATAACACTCAGGAGCTTCATGGCCCTGTGGCCGAACGTGCAATGCAGGCAATAGAAACATCTTTTCAGTTGGCCAAAGTCACCCCCTTTATGACTGCATGCGTTCAACAGTGGGCCCAGTCTAGGCAGTATGATTTGCTGATTCATCACTGGCATAGAGCGTGAGCAGATACAGGAGCAGGGTAACCATGGCCATCTGTGATGGGGGACAAAGAAATCCATCAGTGTCCGTCTCAGGCTGAACAAGTGGCCTCACCCCACTGGCAGGGTCACTGACCTAACTACCAGCCCCTTCCCTCTAACCAGTCAACCAGCCGGTGGTTGAGGCCAGACATAGTGATCTGTGCATCATGTATGCTGCCTGGAAACTTGGCCATGATGTCTGTGAAAATGCCCCCGTGGTTGTAGCTGGCCTATATTTTCAAGCTGTAAAAACGGAGTCAGTTGAGGTAGACCTGCGTACAGCTTGTCCCCAGGAGCTATGAGTGCAATGTGGGGTGCAGTCCATGGCCCCCCATGGAGCCTGCAAATATGGAGAACCTGGCATGGATGTGGGCCAGCTCTGCATCCTCCATGGGGAAATACATATGCTCCTGCAGCATGGCATCCAGAAAGCTGTAGAGACAGCAGCTCACTGAAGGTTGGGACACCATTAGCACCTTGGCCATGACTGCCTGGGGTGAACCCATGGTGAGGAGGTGGAAGGACAGCCGCAGCTTCTGCAGGACAGGGATGGCTGCCCTGACAAGGTGGAACCACTCCACGCAAGTCTCATTGGGCAGCTGCAAGGTGCCAGTAGTGCATGGCATGATGCCTTATACTGCATAGCTGTATCACCCAGATGTACAACACATGCAAGAGGTGGATCATCTGGATCACTGGCAGGGTGGCAGGTGGTGGGCCATCAACTTGGTGCAGGTCATCCAGTGGTTTTGGGGATGGTGGCCTGTTAGACACATGAGCTGCTGGGGGGCCTCCTCACACCTATGGCTTGACTAGTGTGATCCATGGTGGGTGTGGGGACTCAGAACCAGTGCCCAGCCCCCTACACAGCACCCCCCCACCCTCTCATCCATGTGGGCAGTCCACTGAGAGGGAGTGGCCGGAGACCAAGTGCAAGTGGAGGAATACTATCTCCCAGGTGAGCAGTGCTTTACAATGGTCCAGGGTCGGCTACTAGCCACCTTATGCAGCAAGAGGCTGCTCCTGGGGATATGGGCAGGTGGCAGGCACACACTGAAGGTCTGCTTGCGAATGTCACTGGTGCTCCATGGGCTTGTGCCAGCCTCTGCCCCTGAGCACCCCCCTCCAATGATGACAAGCTGGGGTCCCTGGGGTGGTTCCTGAAGCCAGGCTGTGCAACATGCCCATGGTGCTGAGAAGTGCCCCGCTGCCTGGGGCTGACCCCATGTTCTCGTGAGAGCCCACAGCGGTCTGGACCTGGACGGACTTCAGAACTGCACTGCCCATAACTAAAAGAAAAAACAAGCCAGAAACCACTGAATGCATTTACCAAGAACACCCACACGGACTTCCTATAAGATGACTACTTTGTCTGTAAGAATATGTGATAGCCTGTAAACATAACAAGACCATGAAGGTCATATGATAAAAAAAATTAACCACACAAAACTTTGCAGTAGCAGGAACATGTTTTCATTATTTGAAAAAAAAATAAAATTCAAACTTTGTCATCACATAAAAACATTGCATGAGAAGTAATAAACATATTTACACTTCTGTTTTTGATTATAAATATACATTATATACAAAATAATGTTACAAAATGTAGAAAGTTCAGTGCTTCTGATTTTCTTTAAATTACTGAAATACTAGACTTCAAAATAAACTATGAACAGACACTAATATAAACCATATTATTGATTTCTGAAGGTCATCTTCATAATGGCCAGAACAGAAGGTCAGTAGTGAACATTCCAAGCAAGATTTCCTTGCACAATTCAAGACTGTAGGCGGACTAATCTAACACTGGGATTTACAAGGTCAGGAACTCTTCCACCACAGAAAGCACAATCACAGTTTCCTTGAATGAGAATTCACTTCCTCTCTCTGCTTCCGCCATGTTCTCTTTCCCACAGTATTTGTTTATCACTACAAACATCACAGCACTTCCTATCTGAAATGTCTATTATTATTGCTGTAAGTGTACACGTTAAGTCTGTGTGAACTGCTCCTTTGGATTCAAAGATTTAACCTTATCCCTTTCCTTGCAGCAACGTGAATGAAAAAGCAGGACAGGCCAAAAGATTTAAGGTTTGCCCCATGGAATGTCCCTCCAGAAGTCAAGTTGGTTGCTGTACTTCTGTTAAATATCTGAGAAGAGGACTGTGAACTGTAGATAGTGGTGGTAGTAATGGGTCTGCTGCAGGGCTAGAGCAAATAACTGCTTCCCTGGCTGTGACAACAGACCGTTTGGACTTTGAGATTAGGTGTGACTGAAGAAGCTTAAGATACCTAACACAAAATCCAAATTCCTTCCAAACATGTATGATGAACAAGAAACACAATTCTGCTTGTGGTGGCTCTGCAGTGCAAATGTGTGAATACAGCTGATTGATTTTTAAACGCACTGTAAGGCTTTCAGTGAGCACTGGAATTAAGTATCCTCCTATAGAGGAGAAAGAGGCAACATTCATTTTTAGTTCCATGGACGTGGCTGTGGTAGAGAAAAAGGACCAAACCCACAATTTTACTGCTTGGTTCACTGAAGCATCATCACGAGATAAAATGCGACTTCTAGATCCATCTTCCTTTTTTCCTATTCAACCTCACATTGCCTGGAATACATGAAAGGGCAAAAAGGATGTAGAATAGATGAGGAATAGAGAGGAAGTTCATCATCTACCCCTGGCCAATACTGCTTGGGTTCTGTAAAAAGGTTGTGGGGAGGTTTGTCTTTATTTGGGCTCTCTAGATTCTCAGACAAGCTTTAGGCACTTTTCAGATCCAGAACAGTAAGCTCATTTAACTTGAATCCATTATCTGCATAGCAACATTTGCTTCTTTATTAATTCATTCTTCTCAAGATATTGTTGATATACATCTGTGATGCCTGAGTGCCTTTTGCACCTCCTGGCACCTCCCAAGACCGAATTTCTGGAAATTCTCATAACAGTTCACGAGCAACTGGCAGCAATGTAATTTCAAAGGCTAGTAAAAGATGTCATTTCTGTCTGTCTCCTCCTCGTAGTCAGTTTACATTCCTTGTATGAGACTTCAAAACAAGGGGAAAAGGAACGGAAAAAGTCTATTGCATCTTTTAATAAATTCACTGTCCAGTTCACCCACTTCCATCCTTTCCGTCTCCTCCTGAGAGCAGCAAATTGCATATCATTAAAAAATCCAAGTCCAATCCAATTCTGAATTGTAAACAATGTTCCGGGAACATCCACCTTGTGGCATCTCCGAGTCTGAGGTGCAAACAGAACTGCCTTCATTCTTATACCTGTCCATAAAAAATGAGGAACAGAAGGTTGAATGCAGCCAAGAATTTCCTTGGATGGGAGTTAATTCCACCTGCACAGTGCCTTCCCCCCTCCCCTGCATCCTCAAACGGCCCCACAGTGCTGATCCTGGAAGTCAGGCAACCCCACAAGCACAGTGATGGGAGATTCGATGGCCCTCCCAGGGGTGAGGGAGAAGTGGCACCTCCCATTTCCATTTATGGAAATTCTCCAGTGGATCAAGCCCAGAGCATACAAACATTCTCACAGGCAGTCCAAGGTATATTTTAAATAAAACAAGGTAAATTTAGGCTAAGAACCTCCAATTCAATCTGTGGTAAGTATTTTAAACCTTTTTCTTCAGTACCTGTGAAAGAGCTTATGGTTCATTATCTGAATTAGTTTATGGATCATTATCTAAATTAACTTAATTCTGTTTATTTTCTATGTTTAGTATGCTCCGTTATCAGTATCTTTTCTTTGGTACTCAGTCCTGTGAACATAGAAGCACAGATCTTATTGATTTCATTTTCCATATTTAGTTCCTTTGCTAGCAAGGTGTGAAGTAGCACTAAAAAGAGTACCATGCTCCACCTGCCCATATTTTGCCATTATACACAAATGCTACTTGAAACTGAAATGCTGTTTTCAGGTTTCCATTATAAAAAATTAGATACCACTTTTGTGTACACTACTATATACAACAATGACATACCTCTGTGGCTATAACACACTCATTTCGCTCCTCTGTTATCACAAAGACAGACTGATAAATGGAATCCCTTGGCGAGCATATTGTTGATATCCTGCATTCTGGCTTTTCACTGTAAGAAATATAGAAAAACCACCATAAAAACTTTGAACAAAATAATTCTAGTTTCATATGTCAAAAAAAAGGATCTTAAGGTTCCAGCACAGTTATTGTAGAATGGTCCTGGATAACTGCAGATATATAAAAACAAGCTGAGAGCCTTTGAGGAATTGTGGGGAGAAGGCACAGTTTGGAAGTCCTACCCAAAACCCACCCAAACCCTGGATTTCTCTCAGTGACTTGATTTCCCTTTCCCTTTTTTCATGTAATTGATTCTCAGCTGCTCTGAACATTCCAAGCTACTTGAGCCTATTTAGTCCTCGTGTTGTTTTTCAGGGTTTTATCCTTTATTTGGTTGTTTTTTTAAAACAAAACAAAACATGTTTTTCTGCCTACTTGCTGGCTGTGGTGGCCTTGCTGTTTGATTATCAACACAGAGGCCAGCCAATTTACTATAAATTTAAGATATAACATAATGATGCCAATTCCAGGGGTTCATTTACACTCTAGCATGACCAAGAAGTATAACCAGGCCAGACTATACATGACAGCTTTTAAAAGCCAAGCCATCCTCTAACAAAGGAAAGTAGCTGTAATGTGGGACATGTGTGACAGCAGCCAAAACCTGTCCTTCTCTTTCTATGGGAGAGTTACCAGGAGCAGGGGCAGTGTCCCCCCCACCCCACCGCGTTCCTTCATTTTCAGGCATAATCAAGGCAGGAGATAAAGGTGGGTTTCAGATCGGAAAATGTTGTTTACTGATACAGACAATCTACCTTCTCTCTGAAACAAATTCGTTCCTAGCTCCTTTATTTTTGCTGTTCTAAATTAGAAAAGTAAATTAATTCCAAAACTAATGATGGAAGTCCACAATACAATGCAGTAAAAATTAGAGATTTTCAATCTAGTCACACTAATGATCAGACCTGCTTCTAATTTATTCTCTATTCAAATTCCTTGAACTCACACATAATCTTCCTTGTTCAATTTGTGCAGGTGAATATTGGAACAAGGGCTTCCTAAGGAAACAGGAGAAACTGAATTCATACCTGTGTAACCAGAAGGGTGATTTCTCTCCTATACACTTTTCACTTTTATGGTATTTATCTTCCTGAGCTCCTCTGCTCGTCAGTTCCTTCACCAGATTATAATCCCATGTGTGATTCTTAGGTTTGTAGTTTGATTTCTCCAGCACACAGTCTACTTCAAAGTCTTTATTTTTATTTGTGTTTTTAAGCTGAGAAGCAGGGATGAGATTTTCCTTCTGGAAGTCTGATAAATTGTTCATTGCTTCTGAATTAGGCTCTGGGTGCCTCTGCATCTGCCGGATAACTATAGCTATCATGCAACACAATATGAGGAGGGCAACTAGCCCAACTCCCATGGAGATAGCCACCCATGGAACTGGTTTAGGAGGCTCTGATTCATGCAGATATACTGGAAATTCACAATGGGTGCCCATAAAGTCAAGAGGGCAGTGGCAAGCAAAGCTGGTAGCATAAAGCCTAGAATAGCATGTTCCCCCATTCTGGCATGGCCCAGAGGCACACTCATCTCTTATATCACAATTCCTGCCAGTGTAACCTGGCATGCAAGTACATGTATAATCATGTGTAGTCACAAGGTCATGACAAGTTCCTCCGTTTGAACATGGATTTTTGGAACACTTGCTGATGTTTATCTCACATTTCTGACCATAGAATCCAGGACGGCAGCGACACACACTCGTCACGCCCAGAAGAAAGCACTGCCCACCTGTGAAGAAAAAACAGTAACAAGATTTGTAATCAATAATGAGTAATGTCCCTATTAATTACTAGTTTAACTATTATTTAGTGCCCAATGGGTACTTCTAAGTACTGTAATGAGCACAGAAATCTCTGCCCTAGGAACTTAAGTACTACTAGCAGGAAACAATTAAAGAAGGGACCTATGAAATTTGTTGAAGAGTCAGAGATAAGTCTTATTGGGCTGTAGCACCTTCTGCATTGAGCCCCTGTCCCACTGTGCTGAGAGCTGGTCCTGCCCCTGTGTAGATAAAAGTGAGGAAAGCTCTTGTGTACTACAGGAATACTGCAAAGGAATTTCCTGCGTGAGAGAGGGAGACCACGAGCCTGTGCTTATGCACCAACAACTATGGGAAAGATAGGATCAGAGTACTTATGAGAAACAAGCAGGCAGGCAAGTTTCTGTATTTTTAAAGAAAAGAATTTCATAATTATTTTGATTTACAAAAATATTCCATTAAATAAATGGCTATACCTCAATAAAACTACATATTTCCTCTTCTTGATCACTCTGTTCTTTCAGGTATCTATTATAAGCCATATTTTGCTATCATATATGCATGCAAGCACCATTTCTAGCCACTTGCACAATTTCTCTCCCTCCCCCCAACGGGTAAACAAGAAACTTGCAGAAAGTAATTTTGGGCTGAAAACTCATTGTATTGTAAAGGGTTAGCAGCCTCTCTCCACCTTATTCTTCCATTCAGTCTGCCAGACTGATTTGGGTGTTAAAACAAAAAGTGAAAAAACCCTCTATTCCATGTAACCTATGTAGTTCTGGAGCCTCAGAGAAGAGGCTTAATATACATTATTCTAGGAGTGCAATTATTTTCTTCAAAATGTGAAATCCTTCTGGTGTAAGGACATACCATTAGCACAAGGATTATTAGTACATCTATCTTCTTTTTTTTCACAATTGGATCCTGTAAAGCCCATAGGGCAAAGGCAAGCATAGCTGGTTCCTTTTTCTTTTTCCAGGCATGTGCCACCATTAAAACATGGAGAGTCAGCACAAGTCAAGACACTGTGCTCACAATTAACACCATCATATCCTGGGGGACATGTACATTTGTAGTCTTTTCCCAAATCCTGCAGAAATAAAACAAGCAGAAGACAATTCAGACTTAGACCTGTTGAACTGTAGGTACTCTGAAGGAGAATGTTAGCTCTGTATTCTTTTTTGCTTATCCAATTAACATGAATTACTGTGGGTTTTGCAGATCTTTCCTGTAATCTTTCCTTAAAATCTGCCTCCATTCCTGAGGACTGGAAGGTAGCTAATGTCACTCCCATCTTTAAAAAGGGTTCCAGAGGAGAGCTGGGAAATTACAGGCCAGTCAGTCTGATGTCGATACCGGGTAAATTGGTGGAAACTATTATTAAGGAAAGAATTAGTAGGCACATAGATGAACAAAACCTATTGAGGCAGACTCAGCGTGGGTTCTGTAAGGGAAGATCTTGTCTCACTAACCTGTTAGTGTTCTTTGAGGGGGTGAACAAACATGTGGACAAGGGGGATCCAATAGATATTGTTTACCTTGACTTCCAGAAAGCTTTTGATAAAGTTCCTCATCAAAGGCTCATAAGTAAGCTCAAAAATCATGGAATAAAAGGACAAGTCCTTTTAGTGTTGGACTGGACAAGTCCTTTTATGGATCAAAAACTGGCTAATTAATAGAAAACAGAGAGTGAGTATAAATGGGCAATTTTCTCAGTGGAAGGTGGTAAGCAGTGGGGTACTGCAGGGATCAGTACTTGGTCCACTGCTTTTTAACTTGTTCATTAATTATTTGGAGTTGGGAGTAAGCAGTGAAGTGGCTAAATTTGCGGATGATATGAAGTTGTTCAGGGTGGTGAAAACCAGTGAGGATTGTGAGGCACTCCAAAGGGATCTGTCAAGGATGGGCAAGTGGACATCAACATGGCAAATTGGGTTCAATGTGGCCAAGTGCAAGGTGATGCACAATGGAGCCAAAAATCCTAACTATAAATACACATTGATGGGGTCTGAACTGGCAGAGACTGATCAAGAGAGAGATCTTGGAGTTGTAGTAGATAACTCACTGAAAATGTCGAGACAGTGTGTGACTGCAATAAAAAAGGCCAATGC